AAATGAAAATTTATTAAATTTAATCGTGCAAAGGATATATATTTCTTGGCACCATGAAGCCATTTAAGGATCAAGCCTCTTTGACATTTTGTTTTCATAGCAATTATTTGATCATTATTAATATTTATTGCATAAATTTTAATTACAAAGTTGCTTTATAAATAATAGTTTTAGAAAAAAAACAAAATATTTCTTTTTAAATTATTTTTTTCTTGTTCAAAGAAAAATAATCTCAAAACTGAATTGTGACTTTTTGTCCGTGACTTTTTCTCCTGTGACTTTCTGTCCTACATTCCAAAAACCTGGTGGCACTCCCTCAGAAAATGATGTTGTGTATAAGACAAAAAACAAATATTAGTTCTGTTTCCTACCTCACTTCCCTACCTAAAATTTCATGCTAACTTTGGAACATGTTTCTGACATCTTTGGTTAAGCACTGTTGAAGTCCATAATATATATTTCTCTATATCTATGTAAAATATTTTCAAAATAAAAATATTTTACTTACCTATAGCTAACTGACATGCTTTTTCTGCCAGGAGCAAGATATTACCTATGAGGGTCTGGATGGAGGGGGATTCTTCATTTCTGTATTCATTAATTCTGTTGGTCATTATCCTCTATTCTTTATATTTTTAGTCCATTTTCTGTAGATTTGGCCCATTCTTCTCTATTTTGTAAACCCATCCAACCCTCAGAATTTTTGGTGTGTATTAATTATTAGGAATGTTGAATAATGGACTAAAATGTAAGATTAATTGGGGAAAAAACAAAACTAAGTTTTCCTTCTACATAACAGACCAGAAAGTACATTTAATGATAATCTATAACATGTGTGATATGGAATTAAATATTTGAGTTATCTCCCATTATTAGTCAGAATCAGCTTTTTGGATCAAAACAATCAAAAATTTAAAACAAATCAAAGTACTATTGCTAGCCGTATTTTGTAAGTCTCGTTTTTTATTTGCTCCTAAGTAAATAAAAGCCTGCTTTTATTAGTTTTCCTAACCTTTCATTCATGTTCTGTCATTTTAATATAAAGTCATCATAATGTTATAAAATTCTATTCAGCAATAAACTTTTTATTTTATCAAGGGCCTAATACAGAGGTTTAAAAAATATGTACTGTGAATTCATTATTATTTGTGGGATTACAATTTTCATGGATTCCGATTTCTTGGGTACAGTGCATCAAAATAGAAATGTTCTATGGGGATGTATTCAGACTGGCAAAACCATGAAATTAAATGAAACCACAGTTAATCATCGATATTCTGTAATTCAGAATTTCTTAGAATACTACAATTTTTGGAGCAAGTGAAAAAAATATATTCTGGATGAGTGATCTCCCTTAGCATACCCCTTTTTCTAGAAATATTATTGGCATATTAGCATATGTATCATCCAAAAATAAAATATGATTTTGTTGAAAACTGAAATTCATAAATATGCCATTTTAAGTGAAACAAAAATAAGATTTTTTTCAAAACCATTAAGTTTTTAATACTACACTGTATTTGAAATGTGTATGAGCTATGTTATCCAAAAATAAAAATGACTAATTTAGTGGACTTTTGCATTTTCCAAAAGTTGTAAGATATGATATATATATACATATATACATGTGTTAATGGACAAAAATATTGAAACACTTTTGAAATGAAAAAAGAAACAAAAATAAAATTTTAAATCTAGGTATTTGGATTAAAATCTATAACTGAAACCAGAGACATATAATACATTATATCATATGTCTCTGCTGAAACTAAACAAATTGAGTACAACTGACCCCTCCCCCACATATATATAAAAACATGTGTATATAGTTAAAGCCTGGATGTTGCCTTCTAGATGTCTTTTTGTAATTTTTGTCCTTGGGTTGCTGTCTCAGGAAGGTGTGCCCAACATCTCCCTTAAATCATATACAGAGGCAGATTTAGGGGGCAGTCCTCCTACCCCTGTATGAAGCTACAATTATGGTTAATGCATAGACTTTTTAGCTCACCTGGCCCAAAGGGCCAAGTGAGCTTTTCTCATCACTTGGCGTCCGTCGTCTTCGTTAGCTTTACAAAAATCTTCTCCTCTAAAACCACTGGGCCAAATTTAACCAAACCTGGCCACAATCATCATTGAGGTATCTAGTTTAAATAAAATGCTCCCGCAGCTTGATACGACCGCAGAGGTCGAACCCTGAACAGTTGGGGCAAGTATGGACACAACATTCAAGCTTGATACAGCACTAAATTTGGATTGTGATTAAATATTTGACACAGCATAGGTGTCTGACACAGAATGAATGTGGTCTTAAGAAATTAAAAAAATTTAATTTACCTATTCAAACCATATCACTATTATTTGCTTTTATATATAAATCAGAAATAACCAATTTAAAATGGAAAATTTTAAAGGAAAAAAAAATCCCTCCCCCAAATTTTTTGAACCCCCTTATGATTCATCACCCCCAAACTCAATCCCAGCCTTCCCTTTGTGGTATGGTACCTTGCAGTACAATTTCAGAGAGATCCATACACTTGAACACAAGTTATTGTCTGGAAACTAGAAAAATGCTTGTTTTTAGGCCCCTTTTTGGCCCCAAATTCCTAAACGTTTAGAGCAATTATCCCCAAACTCAAACCCAGCTTTCCCTTTGTGATATGGAACCTTGTAGTACAATTTCATAAAGATCCATACACTTACACACAAGTTATTGTCCTGAAACTAGAAAAATGCTTGTTTTTTGCCCCTTTTTGGCCCCTAATTCCTAAAATTTGGAGGAAATTACCCCCAAAATCAATCCCAGCCTTCCCTTTGTGGTATGGTACCTTGCAGTACAATTTCAGAGAGATCCATACACTTGAACACAAGTTATTGTCTGGAAACTAGAAAAATGCTTATTTTTGGCCCCTTATTCATAAATGTTTTGGTCAATTACCCCCAAACTCAATTTCAGCTTTCCCTTTGTGATATGGAACCTTGTAGTACAATTTCAGAAAGATTCATACACTTACACACAAGTTATTGTCATGAAACTAGAAAAATGCTTATTTTTTGCCCCTTTTTTGGCCTCTAATTCCTAAAATTTTGAGGCAATTACCCCCAAAATCAATTCCAGCCTTCCCTTTGTGATATGGAACCTTGTGGTACAATGTCAGAGAGATCCATAAACTAACACACAAGTTATGTCTGGAAGTTACAAAAATGCTTATTTTTGGCCCCTTTTAGGCCCCTAATTCCTTAACTGTTGGTACCATAACCCCCAAAATCAATCTTAACCTTCCTTTTGTGGTATTGAGCCTTATGGTAAAATTTCATAGAGATCCATTCACTTGAAATAAAGTTAGAGTGCGAAAACCAATGTGTCTTCGGACGACGACGCTGGACGACATTGCCAACGTCATACCTATATACGACCGCTAAATTTTTTTGCGGTCGTATAAAAATGTGTCCGATGACCCCGCCAACCAACCAAGATGGCTGCCATGGCTAAAAATAGAACATAGGGCTAAAATGTAGATTTTGGCTTATATCTCTGAAAGCAAAGCATTTAGAGTAAATCTGACAAGGGTAAAACTGATTAACAGGTCAAGATCTATCTGCCCTGAAATTTTCAGACAAATCTGACAACCTGTTGTTGGGTTGCTGCCCCTGAATTGGTAATTTTAAAGAAATTTTGCAGTTTTTGGTTATTTTCTTGAATATTATTATAGATAGAGATAAACTGTAAACAGCAATAATGTTCAGCAAAGTAAGATCTACAAATAAGTTGTCATGACCAAAATTGTCAGTCAACCCCTTTAGGAGTTATTGTCCTTTATAGTCAATTTTTAACAATTTTTCGTAAATTTTTGTTATCTCTTACAAAAATCTTCTTCTCTGAAACTACTGAGACAAATTTAACCATACTTGGCCATAATCATTATTATGGTATCTAGTTTAAAAAATTTGTCTGATGACCCCGCCTTCCAACCATCATGGCCGACATGGTTAAAAATAGAACATAGGGATAAAATGCAGTTTTTGGTTTATATCTCTGAAACTAAAGCATTTAGAGCAAATCTGACAGGTGGCAAAAATGTTCATCAGATTTATCTGCCCTGAAATTTTCAGACGAATCTGACAACCCGTTGTTGGGTTGCTGCCCCTGAGTTAGTAATTTTACAGAAATTTTGCAGTTTTTTGTTATCTTAGATATCATTATAATATCTAATATCTAATACTATTAATTATGATTTTAACCTTATTTTACATGATTTCCAAAGCATCAGTAAATACAGGTGAGCGACACAGGCTCTTGAGAGCCTCTAGTTACAAGTCCCACTCCTGGTTAAAGATGTGTGGTCAAAATCCTGGATCCACAACTGATATAACATTACAATTAAAACAATATTTTGCATAAAAATTGATATAATTGTTACATCTATTTATATATTTATATATATGATAGACAAATATTACAAATTTGTTCAAACTGGAATGTCACTTTTTCCAAAAATCAGTATTTTGTCTAATAAAACAATATTTGTCAACATTACTATTTATTATATATTTTATTAGAAATGAATTAAGATGTTCATAAAGTAATATTTATAAAAAAGATAAGACAATAATTAATTCCTGATTAATGTTTGATTATTAGATTATGCAGATGATTAGCTTGATCCCTATCTGTTTGTAGTAAGACCAGCTGTGATAACCCCTCTCATGTTTCATCTAGATCTTTATATGGAATGCCCCATCAGAAGATACCTATGCATGTGTTGGAACATTCCATTTCAGTTGCAGGGTGGTGGATTTACGTGCAAGGTAAACTTTTCTAATTTATAGTTTGTTTTGTAGTTTCTTTAATATATTTTCTTAAGTATTTGAAAATAATTGTATAACTTTGTTGGAAGAAAAAGATCATGTTATGAATTTTTGTACAATTTTATAAATTGATTTTTAATATGTTTGTTTCTATGGAAATCTGAAACCCCCTTAAATTGGGGAAAGTATAAATAGACACTTCTGTGATGTATGAATCTTCTGCTGTTCTGTGTGTTTACAAGGCAACTCCTCTTCTTGAACATTCCAGCTTTTCACAGAAGTGATTTTCCTGGTAGCCATTTTGTTTTCGAGACTAGTAGGTAGGCTAAAACTTTGTTTACATTTTTCATGATGGAAACTTCAAAAATTTCCAAAGTTTTGTGACAGTTTGTTATCCTATCCCTATCTTGTACCCACATATGTATAATAATACCATTTCCTGTGTGATTTTCCTGATTTTGTCATGAATTTCTGTGAAACATGATGTCTACATGTTATGATTTTAGAAGGGGGAGGGGAAGTGCTACATATACTGTAAAAACAACTTACTACTTCCCACCCTTATATCATTAAATAAGTTGCCACTTGATGCTTAGGTAACAAGTCACCAATCTAACATTACAATATGAAGTCATTATCTTATACTTTCGCTCTTTTATCTATAATCATGATAATGGCATAAAATGCAAATCTGTGTAGCATACAAAAGTGAGACATGGGGTAAATAAGACAATATCATACATGCGTGACATGTAAGAGTAAAAACTTGCAACTTGAGGTCAATAATGGTCCATGCATAAACATACCACTAAATAAAATTTCAGTGAAAGCCCCATGATGTCAAGTGCAAAAGATTATATAAAGTTATAAAAAAAAAATTGTTTATACATAGAACATACAAAGACAATTGTAAAACTGCTGCGAAGTCCGACAGCCTTTTTGGTCACTTGATCGGACCGTGGCACAATTTCTGTGTTAACTATATGGCATCTAATGGCCCTTGGGCCTTGGTGGCCGAGTGGTCTAAGTAGTTACCACTGTAATCACTAGCCAGTCAACCCTAAGGTTGTGAGTTCGAACCCCACTCGTGCCGGTGCACTCTACTACGATCTTAATTGACTAGGATTGTCAGTTTTCCTATCGAAGGTCGGTGGTTTTCTCCGGGCACTCCGGCTTCCTCCATCATTAAAAACTGGCCGCCACCAAATAGCCCAAAAGCGGTGCTTAAAAATGGCGTTAAAACACCAAAAAATCAAATCAAATCTAATGGCCCTAAAAACAATGCTGTCTGATGTCATAGCAAGGACGTACTGAGATAAATGTTCTTGATGGACTGGACGGTCTTTCCCTGTCTGTCATGTCAGATGCATGGACAGCCTATAAAAATCTGTATTCAATCCTAATGCGAAACAGTAAGTCACATATGATATATGAGTAATCAATAATTTACATATCACTGATTGGCACAGACTTGCAAACTTTCAGATTAATGGGGGATAAATTGGATTTCTGCTGTGAGCCGTGACCCTGGAAATCCTCCATTACATATAAACTTTATGCACCAAAACATGCTTTCAGCAGAGTAAGATGGGAGTTCAGCACACAAATATAGATATTATAATTCAAAACCACAGTATACAATATTATAAACGGTTATGACATGTGCAAGAGAACAAGTTTTAAAGATCAAATTTATCATCTTATTTTCTAAAAAAATCACAAATCATATTTAAAAAATACATACAACAATCTATCAAGGAATCATAAAAGTAGTTCAACATTATCTGATTTACATAAAAGCAAAACTTACGTTAGTCACTATACTTTCTTGCTTAAATTCGATACTACAAATATATGATACAAGATTAGAGGTAAATTTTTAAGAGACATCACAAGAATCTTCCAATAAAGGCATCTGTAGGTTTCTATAATTTCCTTTAAATAATAAATTTATCATAGATACCAGGATTAAAATTTTGTATGCCAGACGCATGTTTTGTCAACAAAAGACTCAGTGCATGACCCTCGAATCAAAAAATTTAAAAGGCCGAAGTTGAAGAGCATTGAGGACCCAAATTCCCAAAAAGTTTTTGCCAAATACCACTAAGGTAATCTATTCCTGGGGTAGAAAATCATTAGTATTTCGAAAGATTTAAAGTTTATTAAGAGCAAGTTTGTCTGTCTATGTGCCTTGTAAGTGCAACACCTCCTCAAAAGCTAGACAGATATTTAGGCAACTTTACACATTCCATTTCAACATGTTAAAAGGGAGATAATAGAATTTGCTTACCACTGTTTTCTGATAGTAATGCAGGGTGGGGTTGTATCCTCTTTTATGAGTTTACTCAGCTGGATTAAGGATTTGTACAGTATATCCTTGTATATCTTACTACACAAAATCCTTGGCTGGAGTTACTTCCCTTGGCTACCAAGTTGAATGGCAAACTGGTTGATTTTCTAAATTGACTAAATTAATCAGATTTAAACATGTGGCACAAGCAAGTCTGATCCTCTCTAAATACTGGTGATGAATTATAAAGGCTTACACAAATGAAAATTGTACAGAACACAACTTTTTCTAAAGTATAGCCATTAGTATAAAAACTTGAGTTTGATTGTTTATAAAGAATTTGTGCATGTTGCCCTCCAACATTGCAGGAAACAGGTATGAATAGAACTCAAAGCCATGCAAACTATACATATCCAAAGTCTAACTTACAGTTAAAGATGAAAAGAGTACAGTATAAACAAATTTATTCAAATGTATAACATGGTACAAGGTTTTATTGTCATACAACTGGTCAGTTCAATTTGAATTTAACCTAAAGCTATTTATTTACTTCAAGGAATTGTATATTTAACATGATTTAAATATACAATTCCTTGGTTACTTGTTAGTAATTAAAATCAATATATGTTCAGGTGAAATAGCTTTCTTCATGTATCTTTTAATATCTCAGTTCCACCTGAACAGTTTTTGTTGGAACAAAAAATCTCAAAATTTGCCTTAAACTTACAATTTTGCTCATCACCAGCAAAAGAACATTTAATTACAGTTGAGTTAATTGTAGAATTTCCTGTTACTTTTGACAGTTGAGCTATAAACATCTTATTTTCCTAAAAACAATTTTGTTTTCATTGAATGATTGTCGAAAATGCTGTCAAACAATATTAAACTATAAAATAACTTAAATCAGTGATTCTGCAATCAATCAAAACTAACTTGAAGCAAGACAATATTATCTAGTATTGTATTTAAAGCTATTTTAATAATAAACTATACTAAATATAGCTAGAATGCCAAATTAAAAAATCTATCTAAAAGTAGCAGTATAGTAAATTTTTCAAGAGTTTCCTGTTATCAGTTCTGTTTTAGGGGAAAACACTAATATTTTCTATTTAGGTTCTAACCTGCCATAATATGAAAGATTAACATAAGGTTTTTTTTTTACATTTTCAGCTAAAATTTCAAAGATCAGTCTAAAATAAAGTAGTCTTGGCTACTGGGACTTTGTTTATCTTTTTCTCTGTGTTACTTTCTGTTAAAAAAGAAACCAAACTTTTTTTTACGAAAATGTATGATATATGGTTGTGGATATTATTGTAATTTTATCTACATCAATCAAATCTCTTGTATTTTTATTTTTATTTTTGAAAAAACATAGTAAACTTTGATAATGTTGTTGGTTTCACAATGTAAAATGAAATGAAATGGAAATGAAATGAGTGTTTCTTGTTTGTGTTTTTTTTATATAGATCAGACCGTTGGTTTTCCTGTTTGAATAGTTTTACACTAGTCATTTTTGGGGCCCTTTATAACTTGCTGTTTGGTTTGAGCCAACGCTCCGTGTTGAAGGCTGTACTTTGACCTACAAAGTTTACCTTTTACAAAGTGTGACTTAGATGGAGAGTTGTCTCATTGGCACTCATACCACATCTTCTCATATCTAATTAGAGTGTCATGGCAAATCTTTCATAGTCTGGCTTAAATTTATTAACATCTATTTTAGACTTGGAGTGAATGAAAGCTTGACTTAATATTTAATATACAGGTTGACACCTGTAATTTTTTTGCAGAATTACTGTATTTATCATCTAGATGTCTTTTGGTTATTATTTGTCATTGGGTTGTGTCTCATTGAGACAACCCCAGTGTCTCCTTTTATTCATATTTTCACTAATTATTTAATTAGGAACACACATACATTGAAAAATTTGCGAATAATTAAGTAGAAATGAATAAATTGCATAAAATCTCATCATATTGTAGACAAATTATCATCTGATTATGGAGTGATTAGTTTGCTATTGTTTACCAATCTGTTACCCCATGCTAATCCATTATCTCATCAGTAAATGGGAACCAGATGTTAGACACTTTGGGGGTCTAATCTGCTTATCTGTCCATTTTCGTTTTCATAGTTTCTCTTCTACACATTTTCATCTCAGTTGCTATTGGGTGAGTTATTAATGTTTATATATATGATATTTTGTAAATATAACTTTTAATAGTTATTTTTATCAAGTTATTAAGAAGTAATAATTACACTTTTCTTTTCACAAGTTTTGTAATAAGAGATTTTAGCAAAAATGAAAGATTGATGATAATGTGGTCTGTAATTTTATTTCTGAAACTTATCAGACTTTTAACTTTTCTATGCTGACAAAATATATTTCAAAGTGTGTGCAAAAAGAGGATTGGTTGATGAGGTGGTTTGAAATCCTCATTTAAAAAAAATGTGTGCTACTAAAGACGTGCATTAATCAATCTGCTACCCTTTTTTGTGGTTTGATTGAAGAGTGTGGTGTCTTCCTTGAATGCCAACATTTTATATGTTACCTATTCCTTGAATGCCAACAAAAATATTTCAATAGATGTTTATATAATAACAATTACCAATAGGTGTTTTTAAATGTTTTTATAAGTATTAAACTGTTAAAAATAATTAGTGAACTTGATAAAATTGAAACATTTTATCACTTTTTGATAAGAAAAAATAGTAGATTTTGGGGTTAAAATTATAATGAATTTTAAAGAAATAAAGAAAATTAAAACATTTTTATTTCTTTTTATTAAAAAAAAGATATTTTGGGAATGGAAATTTTTAATAACATAAGACATTTATATAAGAAATTTTAGTTAAATACAATTATTACAAACAAAAAAATGTGTATGGATAAGCTGATATGAAGCACTTTTTCAAGTTATTACATAGTCTTGTTATGTGCTGAAAGTGATTTTTTCAGAAAGATGGACGCCCTTTGACCTAGAAAGTTGTGCATACATTATGACACACCCTCTAGTGTTGGTTAATATACA